ATATATAATGAAAAAAATACATTTAAAGAATGTAAAAAAAATTTAAATAAAAAATTTGTAAAAAAAAAATACTAATAGCAAAAAAAAACACAAAACCCCCCACACACATAACATACACGTTTGTGTTACCTTGTGTTGCAATTAAATATACGCCTGTATCATTTTATCACAACACAAACACCAATATAGCGCAAAAACAATTTTTAACATAAGTTGTGTATTTACAGTTTTGCGTTCCTTCATTTTTTTACCTTTTTGCAAAAAGGCGCAATTTCAAATTTCAAAATATTTCTTATTTATTAACTCAATACAGTTTTATCTTTTAGATTTAGTCAGAAAATATTTTTTTTTGTGCACTGATACTGATTTTAGTGTGTTTTTATCAATTGAATTGTGTATTTTTATCTGTTTAATGTTAGTTTGAGAAACATTTGCGCAATTATCGCAGGGCCTACAAATTTGATAGCACCATCTTTTTATTCTACCGGGCCTGCGCTTTCAGAAAATATATGGTTTGGTGGGTCTTTTACAAACGCTAGCAACGCAGTAGTTGAAAATCAAATTAATGGGAAAAATTGCAAAAATGGTGTGGCCAGCTGAGTTGCAAAATGTTTCGTAAGGCTTGACAGCGAAAGGGTTAAGAGGCTTTTTGTGGTGCCTTCTCACCCCCTTCAATCGCGGCCTGGTCCTCGGCAACAACGCCCTTCAACACCCGATGAAGCCTCCACCTCTACAGGACGTGACTGGGAGGACATCTCCTCGGACGTGGAGCCTCTTTCACCACTCACTGCCGACTCTCAATAGGTGCTCCGGGAGGAGGGGGGCCACAACACCCGACCCAGTCAGTCTCTGAGCGCCTTTCCCGCACCGCTGGAGGTTCCCGCGGCATCCCCAGAGCATGCACAGCTGTGCCTCCATAGCTGCATGGTGCACTCTCACTCTCAGGCATCCACCGTGCCTTCGGATCCGAATGGGGCCATGTCCGGAATTACTCTCCCATCAGGTAAGGGGCTTGCAATGGCACTTCCTCCCCGGCCTCACAGAGTTTATCCTCCTAGCCCCCCCCTCCCTACACTGCTAATGGGCCGACGGATTGGTCTCTCTCCTCATCACATGGCAGTATATAAGACTCCATGGACTTGTGGAAGTCTGATCCCTTGCCGACCCCTCTCCAGAGTTCTGCGTCAGGGGTCCCTGTACCATCCCCTTCTCATGTGCTCCTGGATGCTGGCCTCCAAGGCCTTATTAATGCCCTCCCAACAAAAGCGAATCTGGAAAAGTTGTTTCCTACTAAAGCTGACTTTGAATCATTTACAACCTGCATTGAAACTGCCTATAAACAAGATCTAGCTGAAGTTAAGCAGGAACTTTCGTCTCTCACTTCTAAGGTTACCTCTGTCAAACAAACGCACTCTGACCTTCTCCTCAGGGTTACTACTTTGGAAAATGCTCAATCCAATTCTCAACAACAATTGTCTGACGCTGTCCTTCATTTAGAGGACTTGGATAATCGGGGAAGAAGAAATAATATTCGCATCAGGAGGCTCCCTGAATCGACTGGCCCTGCGGACCTTAAGGCCATGGTCCACAACATCTTCAATCTCTACTTGGAAAATCCTCCGAACACACCCATTGAGATCGACAGAGATCACAGGTCTCTGGGCCCTAGACTCCCAGGGGCTGATTTACGAAGCCCAACACGCACACGCGCAG